ACATATGATGCTTCGAATGACAAATCAAAAATCAAATCTGATCATGAGATAAAACCAATATCAAAAGAACAAACAGAACACACAGATGTGCAGTGACGAAATGGATGTTCTTTTTTGTTCACAAGTATATTATAAATTATGTACTCCGACATACATACATAAGTCGTCTACCTAGTAGAAGTGGAGGATAGGGCCAGAGGGGCAGACGACAGATATCCAATAATGGGAAGAGAAAAAAAAAATGTATGATACATCAAATACATAGACATATCATATGATACATACATGGTCCTTTTTGTTTTTCCCAAAACATGTTCGACACCAACTCTCTCTTTACCGATCGCCGCTCGAACGGGCGCCTTCATCTCCGCCGATGCGCCTGCCTCCTCCTTCGCCTTCTTGACCGTGTCTTTGTGGCAACTCTCGAGGTGATTGTTCAACCCAGTCGTTCCCGATCCTCTCTTGCCGCCAACCGATGGAGTCCATTTCATCAGGTGATTGCAGGTTGTCCCATCAAGCTTCTTCACCAAGCAAACGACGTTCTTGTCGTTGATGGACGGAGTGAATCTACTCATGAACCTCCAAGCCCACCCTGTCAACCTCTTTTTCCCCTCAGAAGGAGCGGTGAGTGTGACCGTCACGTGCTTGCCGCGGCCGGCGGCGACCGTGGTTTCAGTGTCGGGTGGTGGGGGTTGCAACATTGGACCGCTCACGACCACCGAAGAATCGCCCGAAGCAGGCGCCGCCACACCAGCAGAAGAACCAGCGTTCGCAGCCTCTACACTACCATTAGAAGTAGCATCAACACTCGCTTCTTTTACATTGCTCATGGTTCTGCTGGGCCACACGCACTGGCTGGACCACACGCGCCACTGTGTGGTGGGCCGACAGCAGCAGTCGACAGCAGCTGCAATAGAAAAGAGGTTCTGCCGAAAAGGAACAAAATACAGAATACAAAGAGAACAAAAGAACCCCTTTCCAAGAAAAAACCAAAACAATAAAAGAAAAGAAAAATAGAAGTGTGCACAGTGAGAATTGAACCTGGGTCCGTCACGTACTCAAGTTTCAGACGTGCGTACGTTCTACCTGCTGGCCTAGCGTTTGTGGGCGATAGTGTTTTACCCTATATGTACGGAAGGTTCGTAGATCATATCTCGTACCGAGTAGGGGGGCTGTTTGTGTATGTACTCGGCAGGATACAGATCTCCGAGATATCCGAGGGGGTACGCATATATGATAGGT